GGCCTGCACGCGCCTCTTTCTCCGTTTCAGGGCCCCGTCGGTTTCCCCGGAGATCCCGGTCCCCCCGGAGAGCCCGGCCCTGCGGTAGGTGTTTGAGGCCCTGAGCCGTCCGTCCCCCCGATACTGACCTGCCTCTGCAGCCCGTGCTTTCTTTCCGGGGGGTTATTCGTGAGCTCCCCGTGGGGCACGGTGCCCTCCCATCTGGGGTCAGATGCAGACGCGGTCCCCAGCTTTGAGCGTGCTGTGTCCCGCCCACCCGATGGGCTTGGATTTGGGGGACGGGACTCGGGTGCCGTCCGGAGGCTGAAGGAACTTGCTTTCGTCCCCACAGGGTCAGGATGGTCCCCCTGGTGACAAAGGGGACGACGGCGAGGCCGGGCAGACGGTGAGTACGCTGTCCTGCCTCTGCAGCCCGTGCTTTCTTTCCGGGGGGTTATTCGTGGGGCACGGTGCCCTCCCATCGATGGGCTTGGATTTGGGGGACGGGACTCGGGTGCCATCTGGAGGCTGAAGGAACTTGCTTTCATCCCCACAGGGTCAGGATGGTCCCCCTGGTGACAAAGGGGACGACGGCGAGGCCGGGCAGACGGTGAGTACGCTGTGACCTTCGGGGTCCGGGTGGAGGGCGTCTGGGTTCTTGGGATTTGCAACTTGCTTTGTTCATCTCTCTCTTTTTTTAATAAGCTTTTATTGATTTTAGAAAGACAGGAAGGGAGAGAGAGAGAGAGAAACGTTGATATGAGGGAGAAACCTCTATCAGCTGCCTCCCGCACGCCCCCCACTGGGGATCGAGCCTGCAACCCGGGCCTGTGCCCTGGCCGGGAATTGAACCGTGACCTCCTGGTTCACAGGTCGATGCTCAACCTCTGAGCCACACCGGTCGGACTCTTTGTTCATTTCTGACCAAAACCCAAACCCATTTGGCTGGTGCCGTTGGTTCCTGACCATGATGGGGCCGTGGCTCCCTCGTCGGGGCTGGAGAGCATGGGCCCTTCCCAGGGGGGAGCCCGTCACCTGCCCAGAGCCGCCCACGCTCAGGCGTCGCTTACTCTATTTTTTAATTTATTGAGTTCAGAGAGGGAGGGAGCGGGGAGATAGAAACATCAGTGATGAGAGAGAACCACGGATCGGCTGCCTCCTGCACGCCCCCTACCGGGGATCGAACCCACAACCCCGGCCTGGGCCCTGGCCGGGAATCGAACCCGGGACCCTTCAGTCCGAAGGCCGACCTCTACCCACTGAGCAACCGGCCAGGGCAGGGCGGCTATTCCTGCTGGGCCGGGTCCTGCCCCTCCTGGAAGGGGCTCTCCCGTCGGCCCCTGGCTGAGCTTGCACGGGGGCTGCCTCCTGCCTGTAGAGGGTTTGGAACGCTGTTTCCCGCTGAGTCCCTGCGATGGAGGGTCAGTGCCCGAGTCCCCGCAGCTCCCCCTCCCCGCCCGGCGCCCTCGCGGAGGAGACACTGTCCTCCCTGTGCCTCCGCGTCAGCGTCCAGGAGGCGACGCTCACAGGCAGCGAGCCTGTCACTGGGGTCCGGGGAGCGGGACGGC